TATCGCTTTCTTCGGTGCTACCCTTATACTGGCAATCCTCCAACAATCCACAACTTTACAATTTTTTTGCGCACGTTGTGTACAACCGAGACAGCGATTGTGTTTAGGAAGCCGCATGTTTCTTGAGGACGACGGAAGACAACCTATCAGGTAAGCTTACCTTAGAGCAACTAGGGTAGCTTCTCTTGCAGTAATACACCATCGACTGCAGGTAGTGAGTCCGTAGATCAATGAGGGTGCGGCGATGATGAGTTAGTAAAAGAGTCACTGCGATGATGACAGAAGTTTGGATTTCTTTCTTCTACGTCCTCTACAGAATTAGCGCTGTGACAAATGACCCCGTTCAGTTGTTTTATCATCCAGCAAATCTCAAGGTGACTGTTGTTTCCATAAATTGTTCGTATATAGCAGGACTAAAGCGGAGCACTTCTCCCTTAATATGAATGGAAAAGTGATCACCAAGTTATGATCTCTGTATTTTAACCCTCTCCGCTTTAGTATGCTGAGGTGCTTGAGTTCTGGTAAGGATAACCGTTCAACACGGATGATAAGAACTTCAATCGGATAGCAGAAGTCAAAATGCAGGTTTAGGTAACTTGTTATTCAGTCACAGTAGGTTAGGACACGTACCGAAAAACAAGTAAGTCCCTCAGTCGCGTGATGTTCGGAAGAATGGATTGTCTCTATTTCCATCTACAATCATCGTAGCAATTGGCATCCTTGTGGGATGTTCTACTGTGGACAACCGAAGATAGCTTGACAAAAGTGCATTGAGTTACCAAGCGGTGCCCGAGTGCTGAAGGAAAATATCTTGATTATTAACAGATTGTAAACCTAGAAGTTCATTCTATCTGTTGAGACATTTTGACATATATGGTAGCCCGATAGTCTATTAAAATCACCAACCATTATGAACAGCGAATGGTTCTTTTACTTAGTGAAAGAGGTGATAGAGTCATCGTGAAATGCTTTTGCTTCCGAGTTAGGACTATTGACAGTGAGTACAATAACATTGGGCAATAAAACCGTGCACTAGCCGGTCAGGTATTACGGGTTGCATTTTAGAAAAGTAGCAACCGATACGCCGAGATGAGCATCAAAAGGGCTTTACACTGATTCGCACCAAGCAGCATTAATAAAGGTGCTGACACAGCTGCGACATTTCCGTTACTTTCATGGGCGGTCGAGGCATAATCAACTGAAATCGCCAGTTGAACCCATGGCATATTCGACGTCGTGATAGAGACAGGTCTCTAGCAGCATAATTACGCTTAACCGCATGCATGCACTAGCACTGACTAGGCTTCTGTTCTTCCATTTTTTTATGAAGCTGGCCCATTGGCGGCAGGCAAAGTGCATACGCTCATACGTACCGCGTTTTTCTTCCAGAGAGCAAACCGACACCCAACACAATGCATTTCTGCAAATTTATTCGTGTTAAAAAACTTTTATTGATGGATCGAAATGCGTTGCATAATTGCGCATATACACATAGAAACTGCAAAATGCTATTTGAAGAGATTATCATGGCAATGATGGTAGAAAAGACGGTATATTTGAGTAAAACGGTAGGTTCATATACAGCAGTATAGATTGTGTGCATGAATTCCAGAAATAGGAAGTTTAGCACACTGACGATTTTGAAGGCTCCGCTCATTTTTACGAGAACACGTTAATAAACACGTAATAACGGACAGACCTTAATTAACAGTTGCACATATGTTCGAGTTCAGTCTTTCTAGTAACTGCGAATATTTCACACGTCCTGACAGCTGAAGCCCGTCATGTTCAAAGTTGACGATATTATAGGAATTTTCCAACAAATATGCCAAACTATCAGTTAATGCCCGTATTGAATTTGGCAAATTCCTGGATGCACCTAGTGGAGGATAACTCGGTAGTTATATCTATAAAAAGTACAGTCCTGGCAGGCTAAGAAAGCTATCGCGTGCCACGTGACCTGGCCATTTTATCAGCTTCTTTGAAGATCTCGAGTAACAAGTTTCGAACTGAAATTGGCGAAGTTGACACCCGTTACTTTTCTTTCTTAAATACCACCACCAGATTGTTATCGAAGATTCCAGGTATCCTTACAAATGCCGCTTCCAGTATAATAAACCTTGCTCAAAAATAATGTCAATAACTTAGTCCGCCTTTTGCAATCGTTCGCACGGTCGAAAATCCCAGTTCTACTGCAAAACGTATTCAGGCCACTACTGAGCGGCTGCATCGCACCCGAGAGTTGAAGGCCCGTTACTGGGGTTTCGCGATGCAACCTGATTCTATACTTGATGGGATAATTCACTGACTCGCTAAAGCAATCCATATCATTTTGGCACCCAGCACTCACAAAATTGAATGGATCGTTGAAGCACCAGCTTTGTTGTTGCATTGAACTATAGAACCTTAGGCATAAAGGCGAGATAATCTGAAGCAAACCTTAGGCCTCACTATCACTGAAACAGTACGCGAAATGCACAGGTCCTATGTGTTGCTGTCCCCCGATGCTAGTTTTAGAGCGAGCATGAAACAAAAGCTAGCACAATCTTCATCTAAAATCATTAGCTAAGCAGATTCTTTAGGTGGCATTTTGCAGTCTACGTCATGCAAGACTCACCAGCAAACTTCCTGAGTGACGACGCAATTCTGGTGTCTGTCAGCTTTTGATCACTAGTTTAAAGCGACAAAATTTGGGAGTACTACCCAACAGACTCGTGAAAGAGGTCAGTCCATTCGGCATCTATAGTGCTCCTGCTCTCCTGAGCAACGTTACATTTCTCAGCGAGAAAGCAATCAACAAAACCTACGCTCATCGACCTGAAACCGACATAAGCTTGGTACTTCGGGCATCGGACTGTGATAACTGCTCAGTATCAAGCACATGGAGTACATAGTTGATATAATGCACGTCACAGAAGCCTCTGTTATTGCAGATGCTACTACAATGCAATGATCCAGGTCAAATTCCCATCGGTTTTAGGCTATGCGTTAGGTAACTGGTGGTGCATTCGTTGCAGTCAATATGTCAACATACAAAACATGCTTTCTGTATTAAACGGTACCATTTTCTGTGCTAATGTGTGGCATTCCAGTCGATTTTGCTCCCCTTCTGGCCAGTAAGTATATCGTATAACCCGCGAACTACGGAGTCTGGGACTGATTTGCGCCGGCATCTTTGTTTTCACACGGCAGGCAAAGTATGTGATTGGTGGATATCGAACAGCCTGTTGGCAGTTCCCCCAAAGTGGGTTTGACTCAAAACTAACTGCTGACCCTAGAAAATTCCAGCACGAGGTAACGTGATAAAAATTTACTGGAGAAAGAAAAACATTTCCCCATGCCACCCGTGCGTTCCGTAAAAGGTAACCATTTTAATCAGGAACGACAAAATTAGGCGTTATTTCTTCTCTTTGATACCATTCGCATGTCGGTAAACTCCATTTAGTAGGAACACGTAGCGACAAAAGTGGTAAGTACAAAATTCCTGTCTGCTCCTTTTCCTTTAGCACCATATGATTATTTATGGACTGAACTTTCTAATGGCGGTACAATGTGTGATTCACAGTTTATAATTCTAGTCGATGCGCAGAGTCTCGCCCATCCTAATTGTCATAGAAATGGCGCAAGTAGTGAATCTAACAACGGAGTATATGCAAAAAGGCAGCAATGAAGTATGAATCACTGAGACAAATTTCTGATGGGTCAGCCTGTTGAAGAACTCACTTCTGGTGGACCCTGTTTCTCTGTCAGTGATGAAAATAGATTCCTTTGTTGCATGCACACCAATATTTCTGAATTTGAACAATGAACAATGATTTATCACGGGATAAAAGCAAGTGTTTGACACGTCTCGTAGGATGCTTGGGGCGAATACGATGAAATCAAAATATATGTGGGTCATCTACCAAACGTCTGCTTAGATGAATAGTTTGGTAAATAACAGCGATGTAAAAGTAAAGAAAATTAAGCGTAAACGTTCAGAAATACACTGGGGTGTAGTGGTTGTTTATATAAGGCGTGAGAAAAGTAAAATATGGTCGCTCACTTGGGTCTATTTGATACGTAAATCCTGTAGAAAATTATGCTTGGCGGAATCCACAAAGCGGTGGGAGCTAAGAGCAACATTTAAACGTTTTTTTTGAAGAGGTCCAAGGTAGGGGAGAATACAACTGAGTCTGGGAGTGCGTTCCACGGTTGGCAAACCCTAAGGGCAAAATAATTACATGAGCTCAGCCCTCCTACCCAAGTTTTTCATGCTTTTCCCATAACCCAGATACGTATATTTGACTGCATCAGTTAAATATTGACAGTTTTGAATAGTTGTGTTATTTAGGCAGTACATTTCGCTGATACTGTTTCCCTATGGCATTTATCTAAATAGATTACTTGGTACTGTGAGTGTCGGAAGACATAGTTTTACTGAAATTAACATTAACATTGATCCGTCTGTATTTTATTGGACGATTTCAGCGTATTTGGTAAATTTGCACAGTTGTATACAACTTATATGGATTTTTCTTCAAAAATTACTGGCAATCTCAGTCATATTAACGGTTGTGTGTTTTATAGTCGACGCCCCGTCAGATCCAGTTTCAAGGTGGAAATTATTAGGCACATCAGTTTTGCTCCTGTTATCGTGTCGCTGTTTTTGAACCCTTTTGCTTTCATTCCGGCCACGTAATAACATCAGCTATTTATCTAAGCTGCTTCTAAGCACTTTAACTCATATCCCACAAAAGGTATGCAGAAGCGAGCTAAAGCTGGGTATCTTGTTTTCCTTTCCTGCCAAGTTGCGAAAGTTCCAAGAATCAAGACAGAATTGAAATTTTTGAAATTTTAATAAACTTTGACGAGTGGATTCAAAATGGAAACGAGGAATTTAACTTAGACAACATTCTAATAGGTCGCCTCTTGAAGACCGTTTGTAGCAGCTTTGATAACATCAAAACTATCTCCAACGGTTCCGGAATTCTCATTCGTTTCATTTCTATTGAGAATAGCGTTACAGCAGGTGGATTCAAAGGAAAATTCACATTCTTCTCAGCTCAAGATGCAACACCAACTGCTGTGGCTAAAGCATTACAAGCTGGGGAACAAATACATGGCTCCTCTGTTGATCAAAGTACGTGCACTTGATCCCTTGCTGTTTTATTCGCATCAGTTGCCTCTTGTTTCCACTTTTTGTAAGCCAGCAATGCCATGTCTTTGGCCGTTCTGAAGCAGCAACCTAAACGGATAAGCCCATTAGCGGCCAGACTATTATTACTAGCGTTAGTTCTTGAAGTTCTCAACAAGTTGCAGGATGTTTAGTTGATTATATAGCCTGAAGGATTGTTTAGTTTGTTTTTGTCGGCAGACTGGTCAGCATTATGAATGCAACTACCGTGGTGGAGATGTTCCGTTACTGATACCTCGGTTTCAGTTTTGCACATGGGCCACTCCTTGATTTACCTTCTTCTTTGACCGATTGTGATATGTGCCGATAGGGCTTACTGTGTGCGCTTTGCGTTTATCCTGTCGAAAGTGAAAGTGTCCTAGTCCCGAGTAACAAACTTTCATGGGAAATACTCGAATGCATGCATTAACCGATAGAATTCCGTGTCGAATGTAATGCATCCACGAATCCACGTACTGGATCTTTTTGCTTTGCTCTGTCAACACTCTCCAGGCTCAGCCGATGACTCTGCGCATATGTAACCAATAACACTGTACATATGAATGAAAGGATTTGTATTACACGTTCGGGTTGATTGGTGACGATCCTTATCCGCATAAGGCAGCTCGCCACTTGATGCAGTTGCAGGTGATAAGGTGTTTAGCATTTAAAATTTAGCAATATAATTTTGATAAACAAGGTGTTTAACGAGGTGTGCATTTTCAGACAGAAAGAGTAAAAAAATGTACTTTGTTGACCTTTGTTAGCGTGTTTATAGCTCAATATACAGTGCCAACCAAACGAATGCCGGTAAGAAGCGGACATTTTTAATGAGACATTTAGCCAAGCTTGCCCATACAAATGGGGCTGACATTGTGCCCGCTTAACCAGGCTTAAATTAGAACCGGAAAGCATGTGGGGTGCAGTCTGGCTCGTAAAATTTAGACAGCACATGATTTAGACGTGCGGTTAGTTTTAATCTGTACGATCAGAGCATGAGCGGAAACCAAGTTAATTTTGGTTCGTAAATACATGTCTAAATAGTAAGTCTGGTCTAAGAGCACCGACTAGAGTGACGGTTAGAAGGCAGACGAGATGAAACACTGCGTGTATGGGCGTAGAAGCGATCCGCTACCAGTGACAAATGACCTATCGCAATAAAACATTATTAATGGTCGCGTTGCGACAGAATAGAGGCCTTGTTTTTCTGTAGTCATTCTGACATTCTTAATCTGCCTGCTTAGTCTCTACTATTCGATTGTTTAGTTGACCTTTCGCATTTAGAATGGGGTGTGACCACGAAGTTAACTTTGAAATACTTAGCAACTGTGGGTGAAATGAAAATATTCTTGTCGGTTGAACGAATTGTGTGCCCTCCAGCGTTGAAGAAATTGTTTTCCATTTCGATAGCAAGTCAAACACTGTGTAAGCAAACGCTCTTCAAGGCCGTACTTCCGGGACAACGACATTCCGATGAACAGGTGGACAGTGGAAGTTTCTGTGTAAAGCATTTTGTTAGTTTCCCACAGTTGGAAAGAGGTAGCTTGGTACATTTGAATATTGATTTGACTACAATGTTAAGCATTGTTTAGTTCCACTGTATTATAAAACTACATCTTGATCTGGCCGATTGAATACAGCCTAACTGTTTGTTTTTCATTTTACCGGGCAGGAGATCACGCCTAGTAGGGTTGCCGATTGTGGAGGCTTGTGCACGTAATAGGTTTAACATTAGGTTGATGCTTTAATGGAGCGAATAGCACACCCTGGACTGCTTTTCTTCTGTATTTGATAGGCCAGTTTGTATCATTCATTACTCTGTGCAGAGCACATTTCCCGTATTTAGTTTTGGCAAATTCAGTATCTTTCACGATTCTGAATTTGTTTATTGTGTATCAGTTTGGTGCACTTAAATTTTCCTCTATTATTTGTATCGTGTACTTATCGTTCACTTTGCCCACACCATTACCGTCGTATCTTCTAAGCTACCAGTAATGCCGAAGCTGGCTCCCAGTGGCACTTGTTGCAAAACAGTTGGGTATAGAGCCAATGCTGTTACATGCTTTATGTGTGTTGTGAATTTCCATATTTCGTGTATTGATTTGTCTTTAAATCACTTTAAACTACTGCGTAAAATCCAGCATGACTTTGTCCAAATATTGTGCAAGAAATGACAAACCACTGTATAGTCATAAACTGCCGAGAAGCCGCGCAAACTTACAAGACGGCCGAAACGCTCCATAGGGTGGAACTTCCTGGGTTCATCTAAGCAAGCGGAAACCCAGACACCTCTATGTTCGAACGAGCCCACTTGCCCATTGGCTTCAGCCTCTCCAGAGCGATGTCTGCCCGTTGCTGGAGCCTCAGGTGGGGTGCTTGTGTTGCGTACTACGGACACTAACATACCGGTGTGCGATAGCAAAGGCGATGAAGGCTAATGGAGAATGCAGCGAAGCAAATAGGCGAAGATAACTGCCAGCAAGCAGCTACTTTGTAACCTTATAGTATTTCACGCGTCTGAGTCTACAGATGTCGGTCCTCAGGCTCGTTATGACCATGACGTGGCTTTTCTGAACAGCCTGATGGATAGGCTTCTCAACGTGGGTTACAGGTGAAGCAAATCACTCATCCTGGAAAGAGAGAGAAGGGGAAATCCCAGCCTCTGCGAGCCACATTTGTAGATGCAAGGTGTCCGAGGCTGATACCCTCCCGCCTCGGTAGGCTAAGTAGTCTAAAGATCCATATTCGTTCAGATTTGGATAGAAAGAAACTGGTCGGATATCGTGAAGTTCAAGCGGCGAACTGATAGTGGAGAAACCAACTCCACATTGTAAATTTTCGAGTAGTTCCTTGGGTCCGCCTAACCCGGATCAACAGAACGATGACGCTACATGCGCGTCTGCCGGTTCATACGGCGACCTGCACGTAGCCTTCACAAATGTTTGTAGTTTAGTGAACAAATGGAACAATGTATTTCACTTCCTCGCCTCAGGTCGTCCGGACGTAGTTGGACTGGCCAAAACCTGGTTAAATCCTGAGGTCACTACCAATGAAGTCCAGCTCAGTGGCTACTCCTGCTATCGATGCGACAGATTATCAAACGATTGAGGCGGCATGTTGTCATCCATTCGGTCCTCGCTGTGCGAGAGACTGGTGCACACCTACCGTAGCCAAGACGGCTTGTGCGAACAGTTATGGCGCTCGATCCGTCCGAGACACGTTGAACTGTTTATGGGTGCGGCTTATCGCAGCCCGGGAAGTCAATGTCTGGATTGGTTGCCGCATGTCAGAAACTACATTTGTCGGCCCCACTTCCTGCTTACGGTACTTTTAGCTTCCCTCGAGTACGGAGGCTTACGGTTCAAGTTCTCACCGGGCACTGTGAAATCGAGGCGCAGTTGGGGGAGATGGTATTTGCAACTGGGATAGCACATATCTGCCAACCGACGCGCGTAACACCGCATTCCGCTTCATCGTGCCTGGACCTAATACCAACGAGTTTCGAGCAGCATGTGCATTAAATTCAGGTCCTGGAGCCTCTGGTAGCTAGTGACTACTCGATGGTGTTAACCAGCATAGAGCTACCACTGCCCTGCTCTCGTCTGCCGAAGCCGTACTACAGTTATTGGAAGACCGACTTCAATGGTCTAGATGGAGCCGCCAGTGGAATAGACTGGTTGCTGCAGTAGGATTCATCTATTGGAGCATGTTGGTCTGTTATAAAAGAGAGCGTATAATTGTTGTACGCTCTTTTCGTACCCCCCCAATATTATTAAGCTGGACCAATGAAGCCACATTGGTTCGACAGAGAGTATAGTCAATTGGCTCGACGGCGACGCGAATTGTAGAATAAATTCTTTATGTCTGGCTCTGGCGACTATTATGAGGATTACAAAAGGCAGCGGAATCTAGGCAACATCGTAAAAGTGCGGAAACGACGGTAGTTCGAAGAGGAGCTTGCAACCCCTGAGAAGATGGCCCCCAAAAAGATTTTTGTTTACGTGAAGCGGCGCCTGAGGCCGGCAAGTGACGTTGCTGTATTAGTCGGTACTGACGGATTGCCTCTGACTTCCAGCCCTGAACATGCGTCCGCGTTGGCGGAGCACGTCGCTTCAGTATACACAGGTGGGCATGCGCCTACGCCGATCTCGACTTGTGTTGCTGCTACTGAACCTGAGGGCCTCGATTGCGGAGTAAAAGATGTCCGCAGTCTACTTGCTAATCTTGATGGCACCAAACGTGCTGGACCCGATGGACTTCACCCGCTAATTTTGGACTCCTTATCGGCCATCACCTCGCTTGCCGTGACGGATCTGTTCAACAGATCGCTGTCCGAGGGTACACTGTCGAGCGACTGGAAATGCTCCGTAGGTAGGCCGATTAGTAAAGGTGATGACCCACGCAATGTGGACAATTACCGGCCAATTTGTCTCACCTATGTTTTGGCGGTGTTCGTGAAGATTGTGAAATAGGGTCTTCTCCGGCTGCTGTAGTCGTAAGATCTCCTATCGCCGGCTCATCAAGGCTTCATGAAAGACCGATCGTGCATCACAAACCTGTTGTTAAAGCCGCAGGAATGGTTGCAAATATTGAATCTGGATTTTATCTACATTGATTTCAGTAAAGCTTTCCATAAAGTAAACCATAAGGTCCTACTTCACAAGCTGAGGATGTGTGGCTTTGGCGGCGCACTGCACCAGTGAATCAGTGACCCCCTTATTGGGAGAAGATGGCGGGTTCAGGTGGATGATCATCTAACTGAATGGTACCCGTCCAATAGAGGCCTACCCCAAGGCACAGTCCTAGGGCCAATTTTGTTCCTGATCCACGTCAACAAACTACCTCAGCTTCTTCGGTTGTCCTGTGCATTAGCTGCGGATGACCTGAAGATTTTGCGGATTATTGAATCTCCCGGCTACTGTGAAGTCCTTCAGCAGTACCTCGCCTACCTCTCCCGGTGACCTGCAGAAGTTGACCTACCTGTCAACACAGTCGTCTTCGTTTAGTAGCCTGGGGAGGGGTGGTAAATGGCGTGCCTACACCCTAGCCGGCCACCCGCTGCATCCCACTAGTTCCGTAAAGGAGCTGTGATCTGAAGTCTGTGGACAACACAAACAGACTGTACGTCTGCTTTGGGCAATTGGACGCAGCTTATGCACTTGGTCTGTTGGCTTCCATAATAAGACCGGTGCTTGCGTACGGCTCACCCGCCTATTGCTCAATCACCATAGATGAGGTGCAGAGGCTAGAACGGGTCCAGCATACCGCTACCCGGCCCATGCACAGTTTAAGGGCTATGTCGTACTAGGACCGATGTAGGAGACTACGACTTTATACCCTGTCATATCGTCGGCTTCGACTTGATCTCTTTATGACGCACCGGACACTGCACCTGGAAGACTTCCCTATGTTGAAGCCGCTGCACGTTCGCGCATCAAGCAGCACACGCGGACACCGGTACAAACTAGTGGTGCCGGATTTAAAGCACATCGCTCGCCCTCTATACTTCGAGTGTCGAGTGGTGAAATATCGGAACAAAGTACCGAAGACGCTAGTCCAGGCGAAATCGGTGTCGGAATTTAAGTGATTCCTTGACGCCCACTTTGCGGAGTACAGGTATAGGGCGCGTATCGCACCCGGAGAAGATGTAGTGTGGTAGCAATATGCTGCCACCACGCAGGAATCAGCGACGTGGTTCCACGCAAGTGCTCGATCCACCTACGATGGAGTAGCACAGAATTTTATCTTCGAGCTCTCTATTCTCAGTAGTTAATATTCAGTATTCCAGAATAGAGAACCTTGCAGGCCTCAGTTGCTTTTCTTGAAAATTTCCTTTCGTTGTTATTTTTCCACTCAGGTGAGCAGTCCTACCAAAGTGAAAACACTGCGTCCGTAGTGAATATTTTTATGGAAACAAACAGAAGGAATGGTATTATCAGTAGCCCGGGTTACCCAAAAGCCTACGGAACAAATCTCAATGTCACTTATTTATTCCATATACCAGAAGATGAGCGACTTAAACTCAAATTTTTCGACCTTCGCCTTGGTGGTCTTTCTACTATTCGGTAAGCACTGCTTTTTACATTCAGCTTGTTGGCATGCAACTGGTATGAATACAAAAGCTGATCGGCAGACCGAGAATGCCAGTAGTGAGTGAAAGAAGCCGGGCAAAAATTCGAATTTTGTGTTTGCATCTCAGGATAAATTACATTAATTTCATGCTACCAGTGGGAGCTACTCAGGCTTGTGTGCCCGAAATTTAGACAGTTGATGCACTCCTTCTATCTCTGCTGCGGGCGGGACGAAGTTCATGCCGGTGTGTGACTTAAATGTAACCGTTTGTATCTAACTGGGGCAGATTCACCGTATACACTCTGTAATGGTTGGTGAGTTGACTTATCTCCGAACTCTCAGTAGCGTCTATTGTTCATAAGAACCGAACTAACCGGATGATGTCCACTAAAAAACAGGCGCACTGACAATGGATAACAGATAGAACTGATAGTAGTGGCCATGGTAACAAGTTGAACTGGAGTTACTTTTGTGTAGGTAAACATTTTTCGCATTATCAGCTCTCGTATGGCTTCATAATATCTTTAAATGCCGTGTAAATGCTGTTGTTCGACACGGATAAATTAAAGTAGCCTTACTATTAACCTATTACTAGCATTGTTTGACCGACAACCTAGCCGGAGGGGGAGCTAGAGTTTCCTGTCAGCAATAGGAAACAATCTAACATAGTAAAGTTGAAGGAAGCACATCAAGTTTTGAACAGGAACGTTAAAAACTTCGAATGATGACTGGAAAAAAGCTGCCAACTCGGATACAGTGGGCAATAAAAATGAAGCTACCAGACATAAACACCATCCATGGACGATTCAGAGTTGACGAAAGCAACTATTAAACTGTGTTGAAATCAAAGACCCAAGTTTATAATCGAATATCGTTCAACAGTGTCAAGGTTAAGTAAACAGCCGTCTTGTAAGTTTTAGATACCGTAAAGTTTGCTTTTCTCAAGTTCACTTAAGACAACCTGTTGCATAGATCCTGTGTCATGAACAATGGTATCCAGTAACTACTTATACTTCTTTAATCCGTCCCGTCTCACATTACCCATTAAAAATTGTAGTTGCCAACAATCCACTCGAGATCGGATCCTGATTTACGACGGATCACCAGAGATAGAAAACCCGTCCATGACATTGTGCGGGGACCACGTAACTAATTCAGATTCCAATCACTTATTCAATGAACGAGAGGTAATCTCCTCCACAAGAATACTGGCGGTGCGATTTATCACCGACTCTGAGACATCTGAACAGGAAAATGGATTTCTCGCATCCTACACTTACATAGAAAATCAACGAAAGGTGGAAGCTTGGAAAGCATATTCTGATCAATACGCTGACAATTATGGTCTCGAGAACGGGTCAAGGGGATCAACTGCGAATAGTACAAGCAGAAACAAACAAAGTGTGTTCACCATATAATCTGAGCAGCCTTGCCTAATACAGTTCCAACAAATGCAACTGACTTGAATGGCAAATGTCATATAAAAAGGTGGAACATGTTGAATATTAAGTGGTATTTCTACTTATTTAACCGCGTATGCTTACTAGACAAATAACAACAGTACCATTGTACACGGAGTACAAACACATAAGATTTAGGTTGTGCGCCTAAAATTACTTGTAGACCACGTCGTCTTAAGAGTTTCGGGAATTGCCGAGATTAGTAATCTCTTCAAGGACCAATTTCTGCTGGCAAACGATTAAAGCTACATATTAGCCAGCTGAGACTTTGCCGGATCTTCGTATTTTGTTATCGTTTGCCTTTGGTGTCTGAAGAAAAGATATGCTTTCTTGATGCATTTGCAAAGACAGTTTTAAATTCCGTCCAGTTCAATTTAAGAAATCCGTTAGTTGTATACAAATCAGCTTTTCTACATGCTACATGGCGTTTATACTGATTACAGTTACAGAGAATTGTCGTTTCATCATTGAAAGCAACGGTCAGGCTCTGAAGGGTCAAATCCCGATAACACAATACCTGAAAGCACTTGCTCTCCAAAAGGTTGAAAACCAGACGAGCTGTCGATGGCAACTTCAAGGGGAACGTTGGCAACGGATACAGCTTCAGCTGCTTAGAAGACAAGCTGCACCTGATCCCGGTAGTTCTGCATGGTACAGCAAACGTACAACCTTCGACACTCTTCAACACGATCAAGAGACGAATGACGAAGGTTCTGTCAGTCTCTCACAGATTTCCAAATTAGAGGAAACGGAAAGTTCTATCATGCCCATCAGGTAACCTGGCAAAATAGGAACCGTAAAATTGGTATCTTTAAGTCACTTGCTCAACTTCCACTCGTCCTTCCATAGATTTAAAATACTGCTCTATAGAACCTTAATTCTCGAGTTCTTCGTATTTACGCAGATTCTAGAACAAAATGACTGAGAATCTTTGATCTGAAATCTCAGATTAATTTTAATAAGCTTGCGTATGTGCAACTCAGAACGGTTCACCACCGTCCTCACTGGCTCAGTGGCATAAGCTGCTGGCTAGTGCTGCGAGATGTCAGTGATCATGGTTTCGATTCCTGATGAAGCCGGAAGATGCACACCACTGACGATTACCCTTGAGGTGAAACGGCCGTTTAGCGCTGTTCCCGGTTGCTGACCAGATTAGCTGTCTTGTGAGTTATTGGAATGAATCAGTGCAAGAGCCAAACAGTTGTCCTTCGTCTCGACCCCAATCGAACGCTGGAGATAGAGCCAGCGGTAAATCACACGCGACACACCACTGACACATTCACGGAGTCAGTACAACTGACGGATGTCAGATAATATCCGATCCTGAAACTTAATTGCACATTGACTTCCTGGATACCAGTCGCATGACATACGACGGTCGCTTTTGGTTACCAAGCGTATCTAGCATTTGGGTTATCGCTGTCTACAGCCGATACGCGAGGGTCTGGTAGATTAAACGCCAATGGATTATGAATACCTTTTGTAGTATCTCGAAATGTAGCGCATATCGTTCCGTGCGCAAGTATTGGGGGTAAACACCAAATTATTTGCAGTATTTATGCCTAAAGATTGGGAATCATCGGCCGTCCAAAGCCAAGCAGCTTGATAGAACAACACAAACTCAATGTAATGTGAGAACGATAACCAGATGTAGCGCATCGTCATCACTTTACGACTGCTGTTCCACTGAGTAGCATTGGGAAATTACTGTAAACAGGCTGTCATATGCCGCTAAACAAACGAAACTTTTAACCTTGAAATAATGATGACCGTACGTATCGTCTTGTTAAAAGCCGCAAGAAGAAAATAGGAAGCAGCTCTCTAATCGGGCAATATAACTGACATTCTTCTGACTGCTACATGACTCTTTGGTAGGTGTGAACAGGGGCCTTCAGCAGCAGCTCCTCTGATCAGTAATGAAGCTATATTATTCCACATTACTGGTGTGTCAGTATGCATGCAATAATGTGAACAGTAAGTCCACAAAAAGCAGGTGGGGGACACGAACATCACGAAGAACAACCTAACTTGGTAAACTGAAAAAAACAATATCTGCACTCGGCAGCCACTAGCGGTTACTAACAAGTAGAACACCTAATCGACGCAGGAACAAATGTCATCATAACGTTTACTTCATCACCAAAGGATAGATAACTGACACTTTTGACTTCTAGGGTAATACCTCTCACAGAACACCAAAACGTTTACTTCCCACCCAGGTGTCAGGTGAGACAGCAAAAATTGGGTCGACTGTTTTCTGCTGTTACGAAATCCCAACTAATCGGATGCAGTGTTCATCTGTGTCTTTCTCCTTCCAAGTAAATGCACCCAGCTGTCAGTCATACAAGCCTCGAAGATAGAATAGGAAAAAAGTGCATCTGCGTAATAGCTGGTCGTCATTGTAGTGTAAAATCTAGCCAAACACTTTGGAGAGGAGAGTAGTTCAAGAACAGCCATATCCAATCGAACGCCAAACGGTGGACATTATTTTACTGTTCACCAAACAAACTAGGTAAAGAATATGACTAACTATGTTGTTTCTGCATTCACCATTGCGGTTATAGATAGGTTTTTATAGAATTAGCATTTTCTTATCCCGTAGGTTCTAAGGTATTGCCTATAATTGATGTAGTTCTGCTTCTTATGAATGAAATCGACTACGCGTCAGATCTGCTGCATGGTCAAATTAGTGTCATTTCACCATACAGCAGTCCTCCGTGTGCCTACTAATGTCAACGCAGGAGGTCTAATCGATTCGGTATCAGATTTCGAAAGAAAAATGAGTAGACTTGAGGCAGCACGCAAATTTATTTCCCACCGTGATCAAATGTGTCATGGACCAACCGAAATGAAGCGCAGCGTAGGTTATTTGGACGCAACTAAATGTATTTTCACGTGGATACTAAACATTTCTCGAAAACGATTTTTTATACACCTAAAATTAGTGCTCACTGTTCCATCGCATCGGCACTGTATCTAAACGCTAAAGCGTGATTTGGTCTGTAAATAACTCCTGTTAACATGTAAAGCTAGCTAAATATATTTCTGTGACTCTGTAATTTGCCCACATTGGATCCGCTTGAGCGTTAGTTAGATTCGACGCAGTTCATAGATCTGGACAGTGCGTTGAGAGTAATGCAAAAACTACATAATGTAGAGGGGCCGCTTCCAAGAATGCCTCGGGAGAACTCTTCGGAGCTAGCTGAGAGCGGATCGAGAAGGACGGCTAGCGACGAGCCTGGGCCCGGAACTACGGAGCGGGAATATGTGGACAGCGCAATAAATCAGACATATACGCCGCTAACGCAGCCCACAGGACAGAGGCCGAGCCGATTGACACAGCCCAGAACAAGCAAGTCGAGAGCTCTCGAACGACTCCTGGCCGAGCCAAATCGGGTACAGAGAAGTGGGGATCGAGGCGAAAACAGGAAGGCGGATCTTCCAAGTCAGAGCTCCCGAGGCGAAAGGACTGGCTCGTCTCTAACATCCGTACCTGTGTTGCGTTGTGGGACGGAAATCTAGTCGATATTCGATGACGCGCGCGAGACCCTCATGTGCCCATTTCCGGTGTGCAATAAACGTCTACCCCCCTGTCGTGTCGTTTTTCGCTACACTGGTGCCGTGACCATTCGCGATGGAGTTGACCCAGTTAGAGCAATTTGCGGCCGGTGACGTGGAGGCGTGGCTCGATGAGTTCGACGGAATTGCGGCTTGCACGGGTGTGAGGGGGATGCAAATTTGCTAATTGCTTTGGGCACACGGTTGAGTGGACGAGCCAAGGCGGTGTATCTGCTCACTCGGAAGGCCAAACCCGGCTGTTCGTTCGCTGAGATGAGGGCTGCCTTGTGTGCAGAATTTGGGAAGGATCTGGAGAGAGAACGAGCACTGCAACGATTTCACGCAGCCAGATGGGACGAACAGGAGGATTTGATGGTGTTTTTCCAGCAGCTGGACAGACATCTAACGATTGGGCTCCCCGAGTTAGAGGGCAACGCAAGAGAGCGCCTACTGAAACAGCAGTTTATCCGAAGTCTGCCCGATCCACTCCGTGATCAGGTGAAATTGGCGTCGATGGTGGGAGACAGCAAAGCGGTGGATCTGGTGACGGTCGCCCAGAATTTGTCGGAACGAGTGACAGTGAGAAGCATCCAGCATGCTGAGTTGGAACAGAAAGTAAAGCGCCTATCCGAAATGGTGGAGCAGCTGTTGTCGATAGAGTCTTCAAGCACCACTTCACAACGCAATGTACGGGTAATCCGGAACGGTCGCCGCTGTTTCCGATGCAACCAGAGTGGTCATGTGGCGAGATTCTGCACCAACGTCAATGTGCCCCATTGTTTCTCTCTATCCATGCCGAGTCGGTGGCGAGTACCAGTCCTCCAGGTAACTATAGAAGGTGTGTCTGTCCGAGCCATAGTAGACACAGGAGCGGCAGTGTCAATTACGAAGAGGTTCAACGGGGTTCCAGTAAACCCATCTTCAATCACGATGCAGACGGTCGGCGGGCATTCTTTGAAAGTGACGGGCACGCAGCGGTTACGAATCAGGATAGGAGAAACGCTCATCCGCCATGACATGTTCATCGTGGAGGAGACGACCGAAACCATCATCGGAACCGACATCCTGAAACGGCTCGGTGTCACAATTGACCTGAGAAACGATGTGGTGATCGTGGCTAACGATACGATCGAGATAAACAAGGAGAGAACCGACCGGGTTGGTGCCCTCAAAGCCGTGCCTGAGTGTCAGAACCGTGCAATACGCAACGTACTGAGCAGGTATGCCCACTTATTCACAGACGCGGAAGATGATTACGGATTTTGCAATTGGGTTGAACATCGAATACCGTTGATCCCAGGAGGACAATGCAAGCCAATCTTCAGACGAATTCCACAGAACACCCTGGTTGAGATACAGAAGCAGGTAACCGAGATGGAATCGAAAGGAATCATCAGGCGAACGCACAGCCCGTATTCATCACCCGTGCTATTGACGAAGAAGGCCGACGGAACCTATCGATTTTGCATCGATTTCAGAGAACTAAACAGGGTGACGGTGAAGGATGCATTCCCGATGCCTCAGATGGAAGAAATTTTCTCAAGCCTTCACAGTGCCAAGCAGATATCTCTGATTGATCTCCGCTCGGGATATTGGCAACTGCCGATCGCAGAAGAAGATCGCCACAAAACGGCTTTCAGTGTCAATGGCCAGCAGTATGAGTTTTTGAGAATGCCGTTTGGATTGTGCAACGCCCCGGCTACATTCAGGCGTTTGTTGCTGATGGTCCTGGCGAACCTGCAAGGCGTGGTTGTTTATGGTGATGACATCATCGTCTTCTCTGAGACGGAACAGGAACATGTGACCAGACTTGGAGCAGTACTGCAGAGGCTGGACGAAGCTGGTCTGAAACTCAGTCGTAAAAAGTCGCAGATTGCCCAAAAGTCAATTGTATGCTTGGGTCACATCGTGGGCAATGGTCAAGTCCATCCACTTCCGGAGAAACGCGAGACGATCAAGTGCTTCGCAAAACCAAAATCCAAGCGTCAGCTCCGTTCGTTCTTGGGAGTGGTGGCATATGATTCAAAGTTTGTGCCCCAGTTCGCAGAGAAGGTCAGCCCGTTGTTAAAGCTGCTTCGCAAGGACGTGCCGTTCGTGTGGACAGCTGAAGCGGATCAAGCCTTTGACCATCTAAAGGCATGCATAGCAGAAGCCCCGACATGTCTACGGCTACCCAATCCTGGTGAGAGGTTCACTGTGGCTGTCGACGCTAGCAACGTGGCAATCGGTGCGGTTTTGTCTCAACCGGCTGGGGTGGTGGAGTACGCGAGCAGAGTGCTGACGGGGGCGGAACAGAAGTATTCAACAACGGAGAAAGAATGCTTGGCCATCGTGTGGGCGTTAGAGAAGTGGAGAAATTACTTACTGGCGAATGAATTCCGGGTCGTCACTGACCACAAACCGCTCTCGTGGTTGATGACGGCGAAAGACCCGCGGGGACGGCTTGCGCGATGGGCCTACCGATTGCAGGAATTCAACTTCACCATTGAGCACGTGGATGGAACGCAAAATGTATTGCCAGATATGTTGTCACGCCCGTGTTTGGACGACATCATGCCAGACAATGCCATACCGGTGCGTGCGATCGCGATGGGGGAGAGGAACCTGCTGGGAGATCAAAGGACAGATGAATTCGTGAATGTGTTGTGCTCTCACTTACAGGCTGGCACCAAACCGGAGGCCACATCGGAAGAGGTGGAGGAACTCCTCAAGATCTGGGACAGGTTGAAGGTCGAAAACGATAACGTGGTGGTGGCGATAGACGGACGGAAAGTGCCTTTTGTTCCACCAAATCAGCGAGAACGTGTGATGCGTATAACTCATGATGGCGCCCATATGGGATTCGAGCGGGTCTTTGAATTGCTGCGGAGGCGAGTGTTTTGGCCAACCATGAGGAAGGACGTCGCGGCATACATTCGGGGGTGCCCAAACTGCCAAACGAGTCGGGAGATGGAGTCCCAGAGACCGCCGATGCGATCGATGGAGGTTGGTGAGCCACTTCAGTGTTGGGGACTGGACGTCTTTGGGCCCTTACCAGTGAGTCGAACAGGAAACAGATACATTCTAGTGATGATTGACCACTTCACTCGATGGGTGGAAGCCATACCAATCAAGGAGCAAACAGGCGAGACAGTGTCGCAAGTATTCGAATTCAATGTGCCTGCAAGGTATGGGATCCCACAGTGTATCATCACGGACCAAGGGCCCTGCTTCGAGTCAAAAGCGTTTAAGGCAGTGTTGGACAAGTGGGGCATCCAGAGACGGCGAACTTCACCGTACCACCCACAAACCAACGGTATGACCGAGCGGTTCAACCGGACATTGAAGACGTGGATGAACTGCACGAAGTTGGCATGGGAAGATGCTTTGCCTCAGGTTCTGATCGCGTATCGGAGCAGCATGCAATCAACCACCAAGGTCGCGCCATTCGAATTACTGTTCGGCAGAGAACCACGGATAGCGCTCGATACTTGCCTGCCGAACCAGAGCGAGCGGAAACATCCAGCTGGGCATCAAGAGCGACTGCGAGGGAAAGCTAGAAGCGAAACCAAAGCTCGACAAGCGCGGAATAAGCGAAATTACGACGCCAGGCATGAGGCTCACAAGTGGAGGCCATTCAGGATTGGAGAACAAGTCAAGTTACGGAACAACGATCGGCCGGATCATGACGGGCCGGGAGCAAGCAAGTTCAGAGAACGCTGGAAAGGCCCCTACACCATTATCGACCAGAAAGCGGGCAACTTTTAATCGACTGCGGAGGAATAAAACGCTGGGTTAATGCTGCTCTCTTGAGACCATGGTACGAATGGAAGAAAGGTCCTCGAGGAGGGGCGGGTGTAGAGGGGCCGCTTCCAAGAATGCCTCGGGAGAACTCTTCGGAGCTAGCTGAGAGCGGATCGAGAAGGACGGCTAGCGACGAGCCTGGGCCCGGAACTACGGAGCGGGAATATGTGGACAGCGCAATAAATCAGACATATACGCCGCTAACGCAGCCCACAGGACAGAGGCCGAGCCGATTGACACAGCCCAGAACAAGCAAGTCGAGAGCTCTCGAACGACTCCTGGCCGAGCCAAATCGGGTACAGAGAAGTGGGGATCGAGGCGAAAACAGGAAGGCGGATCTTCCAAGTCAGAGCTCCCGAGGCGAAAGGACTGGCTCGTCTCTAACATCCGTACCTGTGTTGCGTTGTGGGACGGAAATCTAGTCGATATTCGATGACGCGCGCGAGACCCTCATGTGCCCATTTCCGGTGTGCAATAAACGTCTACCCCCCTGTCGTGTCGTTTTTCGCTACAATAAGACAACACACTTTTCACAAAGGTCACCGAGTCAACTGGAGGTTGTCTAAAAGTTCCGTTTACTGTACTGACTTAGAAGGAGAAGCCTTAAAGGAATCTTGCCGAATATCTATAAAAGCGCTCTTCAAGGGATAATTTTTATACGAAATTCACCGAAATGCAGGGAGTTGCAACATACCGCTTTCATTAATTTCTGGGATTGTAAGGTACCTTTTGCCTGCAATCTCCCGTGGGATACCGCATCTGCTCTTTCTATGAGTTATCACGACAGTCGGTCACTTGTATAAATTTTCCTGGAAAATAAACAGACATGTCGATGCTCCTACTATTCATTACGAAACAGGATGAACTATCTGAGTTGCAACGTGCGTGTAAATTTGTGAAAATTATAAGGCTTAATGCTGTCAACTTTTACACTGGTTTACGCGGCGTTGTGGGTTTACACATAGTGATGGTTTTATATCAGCTCCTCAAACCACCAAATGGCATGTATTCATCTTATGGTGTTGTCATCTAGCTGCTACGAATCAATTTTAAACCCATGGCTATGATTAAGAGAGAACACGCAACTAAAGATGTTTGGAGACCACTAGCGGATTCATATTGGCGGTTATAGTGGTTAACATGGGCCACAGGACGCATGTTCACCCTGATTTCGCAAGTTGCTATTTACTACTCAAGGTGAAACACACATATTTTACTCGGGAAGACCGACTATTGTATACGTCAATGGGCTGTGCCCTTGTTCATCTTGGTTAAATGCCGAATAATAGAACAACGTTATAGTACGGTTAAAAAACCTCAGGCTTGACTAGTCTTTTAGGATGAGCTGTGTTGTATACACAAGTTCAGAAGAATTTGACAGCAAATTAATACACGCATCTACCTACTCACCATAATATTCCCTTTCCACGCATGGAAATCTATTAGGTCCAATTTCGTGGGGCCTGGTTAGCACAGTAATTGTTTGGGCCTTGTCGTCGCTCGATAAGCCGGAGTCATGCTACGTAAGGCTACTCGTCCATCCGAACTTTCGGTGTAGAAACGTGAAAAATTATAAGCGGTTCTGGTAGGATATCACTACGCGGCTGTGCATTCACAAACAGACATAGTAAGACAGCGTTCATCTATACTGTTCAAATGCTTATCAGTCATTTCGCATAACACATATTGGCGAATAATCCCTGTTTGCGCAACTTGAATAGAGTAGTGGCTAAAAAGTTCCCTATGAAGCCACCGGGTCCTAGACCAGGAACATTAAGATACTGTAGGAGAATTTCGGAGGAGAGTGAAGTTGATGCAGTAGGTACGATAGTAACGGACTTCACCGATATACTTTTTACGTTAACCACGTTCGTTACGGTACGTGTGGAAGGATGTTTACAACAAAAGTTGCAGGAATCCTTTCGTTTTTGTCTCTAACACTCATACAATGGCCTTTGACTGCCGTAATTATTATGTATTTCGGAGCACATATCAAAGAGAGAAAGTGGGCTGGTCACCACTGAGCATGTGTTCTGTTCTAGTAAATTATATATTTTGCTTCTTTTCACAGATGTCAAACAGCTGTATCTTTGGAGCTTGTGGGATATCGGAAGAGTGCAATTTCTGCCCCACAACCAGTGTTGAAAACTTCCAAAGGATCGCTCATGTCTTGGCCAGCTAGACAAGCAACCTCAGAGGTAATCTCCGCTGAAATGGACCAAAGGTGGTCCCAGCTCGAACCCTCCGACCCAATACGCCTCTGTGCAGGAGCACTTGTAGCAGCATCCCCCGCTTCGAAAGGGTTTATGTCTGGGTCGATCCCTCGGCTGGATATCATAGTGCACTTTGATATGTCAGAATTGCGCCTTCCACAGTGGGAAAGCAGAACCGGACACTTCGATTTGGGCTACGATATTGGCTACGAGTTTGTAACCGGTAAACATAATCAACCACTCACCTTAGTTGTAAAGACATTATTGTTTCCACAATGACCTCTCTGGTTAGTCTGGTAGTTTACACATATTAAGGATAAGCATTTAACGAAAGCTTCTTGGATCGTACTCCAGTAAACGGAACAATTCTGAACAGGAGGTTTAGCACCACATTTACTCGCGGTATACGGTTCCCGGAATCTGCGCTGTATGCCCCGTTGTATGGGTGATTGGCTGGCCGGTGTAAGATAACAACCATTCCGTGCACAGTTTACGCAAACGGACAGCAGTCCTTTAGACACATGACAGGTAGTAACTAGTAGTACTTAATATGTTAATGACCACTTTAGACATGCAAAATACTGAAACATTTGTGCAAGAGTGCACTATTTCTTAACGGGTTGCAGCCTACTGGTCATTAAAACCTTCTAGTCAGATTGGGATTTCAGTCTGCTGGAAAGCTCCGTAATATTCCACTAGACGGGTAGGTGTAATATGCAAACTTAAAAGGTGTGAATAAAGCATAAATACCTTGCCCATGTTCATCTTGTTGGAGTAGTAAGTCACTTTAGTCACAAATGGATGGTCACCGCAAGTCGCTCTGTCCAGAACTAGTAAATACCTGTACTGTAATTCCGTATGAGTGGCGTTATGCGATCCACAAATTCATCATTTCGAAATTGTTATCTACCGTCAAGAAAGGTGAAAGAGCAGCTCTAACATTCAGTTAAGCTCTTTCCTCAATGCTTTGAAGGTATGGTGCATTCTGCACTCTCTGTGGGGGAGACTTGTAAGTGCCCACCGAAGCGAAGTTGTCCAATGTGAACAGTGGTGGTGCTCGGTCCAACTTAGCCGCTGAAAGTTGCTCGTGCGGGCATTTATCGCAGTCTCCTGAGTTGTAGTTTGGATTGACTTTAGCAGCTCCGGAACCACATGAGTCGCCCTCATTTTTAGGCGATTTCAAATGCCCTCGAATCCGCTGGCCTGCTGTTCAACTAAAAGCCGGAAATTTTAAGGCTGAGGCATAATTCTGTGGTATGGCATTAAAAATTGGGTGTTGGGTCGCGAAAAAGCAGCAGACCAGAGCAGCACAGGAACGTATGTATGGAGAATAGTGTCTGCACGCACGAGCAGTACAATCAAATTGATAGAGGTTCGAATTGCAACCAAGCAAATGCAAGCTCATCTGATTGGCCAACGAGTGCTATATAGAAGTGCGAATAGGAGAAGCGAATCGAGGGCAAAAAACAAACGAAAGTATTTGAACGTGATACTGGGGCACCACAATACTTATGCCAACCGACGCGCATAACACGGCGCTCAACTCCAACTTCCTTATACATGAAGTTAACTTGATGTGAGCAATCTGTGTATGACGTTCGGACCTTAGAGTCACTGCAACACGCAACCACTCATTTTTTATTGCCAAAACGGAGCTTCTGCTACAGAAACAACACACACAGTCAGTATCCAGTCACTGGAAGACGGATTTCGACGGACTGACTTGACCCGCGGGCCAAGTGGAATGGTTCCTGCCGAAATATGCATCTGCTGAAAAGCGCTGGTTAGATATAAAAATGATAAATGCATAGGTAACCGCTTTGTGCCTCCCAAATGTCGGAAAGTCGGACCGGTTAAACCACATTGGTTCGACAAGAAATATAATGACCTGGGTCGGCAGCAGCGCATACGGTGTGGCAAATCCCTTATCTTTGGATGTGTGCCTGACTACGAAGGGCACAAAAAGCTGCGAAACTATGCTACAGTGTAAAACATGTAAGTACAGGCATTTCGAATAGCAGCACACAACCACAGCAAAGACCACACCGAAGAGAATCATTACTTGCGTGAACCAGTGCCTGAACCTGACAGTTTACTTACCAGCGGTAAACAGCGTAGACGGACAGCCCATAACATCCTGCACTGAGCGTTCGTCCGCATTGGCGGCGCAGTTCGCTTTCTTGTTTACAAATGACAAGGCGTCTATCCAGTTAGGGGCGCACCGCACTTACCGAATTCGACAGTCTGGATTGTGGTGCGTCGAATATTCGCAACACTGACAGCACCAAGTCTGCTGGGACTGACTAGTTCCAACCACTGATTCTCCAAGCTTTACGGCCATTATCTTACTTGCGGTAACTGACCTGTTAAACAAGTCACTATCCAAAGATTCATTGCCAAGTGGATGGGATGCTCACTGGTTTGACCGATTCCGAAAGCCGGTGACCCCTGCAAAGTGAACAACTACAGGTCGATTTGTCTGATACCACTTTCGGCCAAGATTGCCGAGGAGATCGTGAAGAAGCGTCTGTAACTGGTGTTACAATCAAAAGATCTACTGACAACCGCACATCACAGTTTCATGCTACACCTCTCATGATTGCCAAACTGCAAATGATGTGGTATGTGGTTGCAGGTAGTGAATCACGGGAAGTCTATCGACTTAATTTACATTGATTTCAGGACTGTGTTCGACAAGGTAAAACATGGGTCCTACTCCAAAATCTGAGGGTGTGCAGAGTTGGTGGATCACTGAAACAGTTGATCCACCAGTTTTTGGTTGGACGAAGTCGGAGGGTACCGGTCGACAGCTGTCTAACTGACTATCATCCATCTAAATATAGCGTCACCCAAGGCACTGTGCAAAGGCCCACTTTGTTGCTAATACACATCGACAATCCACCTCAACTTCATCAGTCGCCTTGTCTTTTTGCGGACGACTTGAGTGATAAGCATCCAAGATAACCTCGGTCTATTTCACCAAGATCTCAAGCGCCTTTTCATTTGGTCTTCAGAATTTCCCTCTCTCGGTCAACCAATGTATGTCGCATTCATGAGCCAGGGGAAGCATGATGATGGTCGAACCTACACACTTGACGGTCAGATGCTCTATAACACACCTTCCGTGGAGAACTTAGACTTAGTCCCACTTTGCGTTCTGAAGTCCGTGAACAACACCAGCAGGCTACACCGAAACGGACGGTGCATGTTCTGGGAACTCAAACACAGCCTCAAACATCTTACGCATTTTCATAAGCCCATTGCCGACCACGCTAATAGAACCGCAAATGATCGAACAATTCCAGTACGTGGCTACCAGACTCATCCCCAGTTTACCGGGCTTACCGTAGGAAGACAGGTGCGAGAGACTGGGTCTATGCACTCTGGCGTATCATCGGTTATGAGTCGTCCTCATCATCACCTACCGAATACTGCATCTAAGTAACTTCCCAATGGAGTGGCCACTGCTCCAATTGCGAACGCCATGCAGCACACGCGCACACCAGTACATGCTTGTGGCTCCAGACCTGAAAGGAGTTCCCCATCCACTGTGCTTTAAACGGCGAGTGGTTAATCTTTGAAACAGTTTGCCGTAGCAAATATTGAACACAATCTCGGTGCATCAGGTCAAAACATTGGCGGATGTGTATTTGCAGCGTTAGATTCAAAGACCAAGTACCCACTGATAATGAAAACTCACATTTATGAATCCCAATTTACTACGAGTTACCCATTTTTCTACGGTATCACTTGAGTTTTTGGGAAATGATTAGGGTGTTGACAGGTCATTTATACTTTTTTAACCTTTTTGATCATATTTAGATGGAGTCGCACAGGCTTAAGTTTCTATACTCTCCTATGAGACAGTGTTCAGTATACTGACAAGAACTTCAAAATGATTCGGAGTGCCGCTAATAATAAATGCGCTGACGGAGCAACGTTTATAAAGGGTATATCTCACATGTCTTTATAGCTGACGTGGACTGAATGTGAATCACAGTATATGAATTGTCAGTGAAAGTGGATACAGTTAGCGTTCCGTTTAACGGAAATGAACTGACACACCCATTTCTCTGTTTTCATACATGTGCCTGACTTGCGGTTTCACATTTGGGTAATTCACTGTGAGATATTTTAGTGTCAGTTTCTAAAAAAGAATGATGCGAATCAAATGCAAGTTCCAGATTTATTATGGGGCAGTTCAATGGCATTTGGCAGAGCGTTACACGGTCGATGCGGCCGAAAACTAATGATATGCTGGCTACGTTTTACATAGCCGTTCTACCTACTCGGTTTTAATGGTTACCACACAAGCCAGCGATTTATTTGATTTAGTAGGTGGTGGTTGGTCTGCATCGGACAATAATTGGTACATTATGAGGTCACCGAACAGCCATCGATGTTGTCCACTAAGTTCCTTTGCTAATTTAATATTTGTCAGCAAAGATGCTGACACATTCACCTGGTATTCTATGTTACCGACGTTTATGTACCTTCGGTGGAGAGAAGTCACTATTTAGCGTGATTTCCAGGCTTGGAGAGTATAGTCAGTCAGTAGTGTGCTAATACCGTATGAAACATGCATTTCTCTTTATACTTCCAAATAAGAATATCAGAAAACGAATGTTGAGGGCTGATGCTGTAATTTCGTGTATTCAAACGCACGTTTGCACCTCAGACTCATAACCGACGGAGTATTTTCAAAACGGAAGCAAGGGGTCTTCGGTTGAATGCGAGAAAGGGACAGTCTCATCCCACAACATTCGTCATCTGATGTTTTTATTTGGAATGCTGTATAAGTCGAGAAGCGTGTTAACGTTGTAATGAGATCAGCCTTAGTGAGGTTATTTTATCCTTTAAATAATCATGTTTACAAACAAATGGAATTGGTGACTTCTCAGAATTTGTTACAGGTGATGAGAAAGTAACAATTAGGCTAGATAGACATTTATAATGGTAGAAGCAGAAAATCAGTTGTTTCATCTAACCTGTCTTAAGGGTTTTGGAATCCAAACATGGTTCAAGTCCATAATGTCATCATTTGACACTTCGAGTGAAACAAATAGGAGCTATTGCTCATCACAATGACGGTAAGCAGATTCTGCATCATAGCCTATTAAAAACAATGTGATAATATGGCAACATTTGGAAGTAAATTCTCCAATCTAAATACTATTATCACCAGATTCGCATGGGAATGGTCCCTTAGCGAACTATTCCAAGGAGGGTCCAAAAAGGTTTAAACATCAATGTCTCCAAAACAATTCTTTCGCCTCAACCATCAGGCAGAACGTACCTATATGAAACGCATATCCCAAGAATCCACCTATGCATATCGCGCATGCATCAGCAGGGATACCTTGTACAAATTGACATGTTCCATTACGGATATAGTTTCTTGCATCAGGAGAAATATACAAATTAGTACTGTTGTCATTATTAGTATTCTTATTCTTATTTGACCAAGTTGGTAGAATCACTGCTGCCCTATGCTTGCGCTGTCGTAATACCGGTAGTTTAAGAGTAAGTAATCTCGTTGTTTATATACACTACTGATGAGAAAAAAGAATAGGCTGGCGCTGACATAGTTCCATCTGCATTTACGACTTATGTGCGTTGGAAATCAGTATAAAGAAAAAGTTGGGTGCAGTAATCACTCGCTGGTTGCTTCCGTAAAGTGAAGTTCGACACAAGTTCGAGAGTCTGCGGATGTGCTTTGTCTCACGTGGATATAGGAGAAGTGCTCCTAATGTTCCTTTGCACCTTTTGTACAAATTGGTCTGTGCCGCTTCGGTCACAAGCTGTCGCATCAGGAGAAATATGAATATTATTTTTATTCCCATTACTATTATTATGATCATTATAGTTTGCCAGCACTTCTGTGTTGGAATTCTATACACGAGTATTTATTTTCACTTTCGTTAACCCGTAGATATATCCTTATCCTTTTCGTCAGATTATGGCGTGACCGCACCAAATGGACGTCAGCAGAAGCCAGGTGAGAAATTCTTGTTTGAATTATCGTATTTCTTTCAGAGTATGCTAGGTAAAGAAATGCATGTTATCCCAAATGTTTACATACGTTAGATTTGAAGCGAATATGCCTAAGCTACCATATGTCTTAATATAAATAACTGGTTGGTTAGGAATGACGACAACTAATTTCTGGCATAGCTCTAAACAGCTTATATGTTTGGGTTCGCTGCACGATTAATGGTAGCCACAAAATGTTGACTAATAAAGGTTTGAACCGCTTGAAAAGGACACCGTGCTTATTGGGTCTGCTGCGCTCCTCCTTATACTGAGCATTCCGATAGTTGTACAGACATCTAACTGGTCGCTCCATCCTATGTATTACCAAACTGCTTAACTATTAAATTATAAAGTGCAAGTGTCTAGCAATTTCGGTGAAATGGCCGGGATGAGAAGCTGTATCGATTGTATTTAAAAGATTCTTGAGTGTACCGTTGGTTACCTCATGTCGTCAACTAATGTGCAGGGCTATATTTAGTAATGTAGGCGAGCAAGGGAAAAGTCAAAACACTTTATGCACAGAGATAATATTGCAGGAAAAAAGTTGCAATTAAAAAGGCGTTCTACGACTAATACACCTGAGGAGGAAAGTTGTTCGGAAGACATTTCATCCAGTTATTCTACGAGTCCAACATGAGCGGGTGTTTTGCAGCTTACGGTTTTGACGCGGTTGGTGTGATCTCAACTAAACCGTGGTGGTTTCAACAGGAATGTTATCATTGCGCAGGGAACAGGCATCATTCTTTTGTGCCCATTTTGCACAATGTGCGTAACGGTCATACGAAAGTTACAGCGTGTAATACGTATTTCGAAACGATCCACCACGGTAACCAGAACGGATGCAATTCGTACCAGTAACTAGTTGCGTCAACATAGGGCAAACTCCACGGGGGCTCAAACTGTCCTAGTCAACAGCCCGTCTATTTTGTAACCGAGGAGGTAGTTGACGTGCAGGTCTTGCGGTTCGTGTCGCTGAGACAAAACAATTGCAGAAATATTCACTGAAAGACTGCTGCTGAACGGTTCCATGATGAAAACGCACACAAAAGTTTCGGACAGTGAAAAGTACATAGACAAAAAAGCGGACATGAAGACTGCGGACACGGAAGAATGGGCACATTAAAATTAAACACATATTATCAATCTAGTCTCATTGTCACAAGTGCTCATATGATCTATTTGTAGCACTTACACGATACAATTTTTTGGTTTATGTCTTCAAAAGTAGCAACTTGTGACAGGTATGGCATTCACACCCAAGTTTCTCATTAGTTCGACCACTGGGAACCTACCGTACTGAGCAGTGTTGCAAAAGTATCTAGAGTACTACACAGACTAAGCATCGCTCGCCTATTGCAATTAGTCGAGGTCTCAACGCATCGGCGGCTGAAACCCACTGTGTCAGCAGGCCGAGTTAATCTTCCGACTTCTCTTACCATCATTTTGAAGACGCTGAAATCAAAGTCGGCAATTTGCACCTGAGCCAAAGCCTCATAAGGAATGTCAGCAGCATGAGCCTAAAGAGCCTTTGAAATCGATGTCGGCCGAAACCTAACTCAAGCCTCTGGCTACACTGACCATTGTCCCGGTCGTTGATATAAGTGAAGTGTTGAATGATTTTTGCGCTACATTTCCAAAGGAAGAATCATGTAATAAGGTGCTCACATACCTCTGCACGTACGGTTGCGAAACAATCCAGGGCAAGCAGTGTACTTTACTTAATACTCACATAAGGAATTCACGTCGCAAAAACGAGCGGATGGACATACTTCCTGGTAGTGACTACCAGACATTAAGACTTCCCTGCGTTAGCGGAATGAACGTCACCTCACAGCCGCTCATACAACATTGCATCCGGGGCGAATACTTGGACACATCTCCAACAATTGGGCCAATCTTCTGAGTGGGCTGCAATATTCCGCTCCACCACCTAGCTCACCAACACACAATGTATGAAGGTGCCTCAATCAAGCTAGACAGTAGCGCGATTGTTAGAACCCTGGTATGCACTTCGTAGCGAACTATCTGAGCTCTGGCTCAAGGCAGCGTCCTCCAAACAACCACTAGGCACGGCAAACGAAGTCGCACCACGTAAGGGGAACAATTCAGATGGAGTCACTCAGCCAGCCTGCGAAATTTTGCGATCACACCCCATTCGTTAAGCATTAGATTATTCAGGACACAAACTCAGTCGCCAGCATAACATAGAAAAATGATTAGTAGCCGACATCTCAGCGGTCGGCTCAACTTCACATCCCATTCGCTCCTCCCTGGACCCACTACTGCTAGCAGAGGTATCATACGCATGCGATCTGAACTTTATGACTGAAACCTTGTTTTGCGCATAAATTAACAACGACGAAGTCGTGGTGTGGTGAAGGCCTCTTATTCGCACATAGGACAAACGGAAATGGACTACTTCTAAGTTGGCAGTATAATCATTCCTCCACGTGGATTTGCAACTGCCAAGCGGTAGGTACCAGTTTTGTCTGCGGCCGCGTTTGCCACGAAGTCTTCCGTTCATCTGAGAACTCTCTTGATTCTGTGACGAAAAACTGACAAGCGACCATTTTACTTGGTACTTGGCAAATACCCAGGTAAGAACGAAACCAGTCATTTTGTAACGCCGTAGCTCAAATTTGAGTCCGAAATGGAGGACGATAGGAAGGGCTATCGAAATGCTTATGATCTCTCGTTCAGCCGTGACGCGGGTTGATACGCCTACAACCCTAGTACGCACGGATCACTAGTGCCGTTTGAAAGTATTACTACTTAGGTACGAAAAAGCACGAGTGAATATTCATGCGATGATCTGGACTGCGTTTTCATCAATGAAATACGCAAATGGAAAATTGCCCACTTAACCAATGCGAGAACGGGATACTCACTTGTAAAAAAAATCCAATTAACTTTTACACCGTCAATGTGAGTCAACGTTTGTCGGTATTCTGAAAGCAATTGGTACATGTTTATGTTACGGGGTAAGGTGGGTTATACCGTAATGGTTAGAAGTGTTAAACTGTTAAGCAGGCGTTTGTGAAGAGGAAAAATACAGCTCGATCGTAAGATTGAACCAAGCGTTGCACATATGTCTAATAATCCCCTTCCCCGGATGCAACGTATGAGCGGCTGGCGTATGACGCATATCCCAATACCGAAGATAACTCTTATTGTCTCGTACTCACGAACTGCAGCACGTTCAGTAGATTGTTTTATGCGACGTGAATTCCTAATGTGAGTATTAAGCAAAGTACATAAATAATACTGTCATATGTGACCACGTTAACAGTTTGCGAAAGTGTGTTCACTTTTAGTGTGCGCAATCTTCTACGTGTGGACGCAATCGTCCGTGTCCGCAATTGTTAACGCTGCATTCCATAACGAGCCTTGATCCAGGGTGAATACCTACGCCAGAAGTAAGCTTATGTCCAAAGCGAAACAATGAGCAGTGACCCAACCAAAGGGTTAAGAGAGGTCAAAATAGAGGAGGGTTAAATGCAACAAGCAAAATTTTCCCCTCCCTTCCATCACGTAGCACTTAAAATATTTACCCTAGTTGTCGAACGGGTCACATGTTGTCAGACCCAAAAATTGTAACGACGCGAGTTAGCTTTGCCACAAGCTGTATTGTACCCCTTGCAACGATACAGATAGAGAGTGAAAAAGCTAAGCGAAGTGTAAAACCAGATGGTAACACCTATAGACTTGGAGCTGTGTTAAAGCAACGGGGTTTACTTTACGTACCACCAGAGTGCCATAAAGTGTGTATTTTGTCCTTCATGATGCAGCTGCCATTTCATCTCAGGAAACACTCCTAAGTGGTGAGCAGTGACTTTCTCTGAGGGGAGTCGGCGTATTGATCTAAGTACCTAAATATTAATGCAGATGAGTGCGCAGATGGTGAGATGTTTCTGGTGTAAGCTACTTATTCCATAGACCAGCGTGTCAATTTGATTGATGCCCGCCTGTATTCATGGTGATGTTTCCGGGGAAAGAACTTGGTGCTGGCCCCTGTGACACGAAATATTGGTTAGAGTTGAAAACGTGCCGATAGTCTTAAACAATGCTACTGCAAAGTAGCATATATTGCACATGTTTCTGGCTTAACGCTTTACTCTGCTTGAAAAAGGACTAGCTCACAGAAGGAGCCAGAAATGCATTCTTCGTTTTTTATCTATCAGATAAAAATGTTTTGATTTTGTTGTGTTATTCGCAATAAGTGATACACCGCACACAAATTAACGTACGCTAGCACCAAATGTGTAGAATGTGATTGACAAGAGGAGTTGAAAAAACCAGACAATATCTGATGGATGAGCGGCGGTGCTTTCTACAGTAACCAGGTGACGGGGTGGCAATAACCTCATTCTTAAGCAGGAAGATCACTGTAGCAGCAACAGCATTTGGTGTCGACGACACGGAATCTCCAAATAAATGCAATCTATAACTGCCAATCAATATTTCCAATATTGTTGTAATACTTATCTCTGTTGTCTTTCCCATGATATTCGCTTAAACACGACCCGGCAGACGGCAAAACGCTCGCAACATTGCAACAATAATAGGTTGTTAGATCGTCATCTGTACACCAGAACTTAAAATGTTTTTAGACTCGCGATAAAACAGGGAATAGCTTGATCCTAGCTCAATGCTCACTGTTACACGATTGCTTTACTATTGTTCTAATGCCAATAGCAATGCGGGTTGCTTCATGCCATCTGTTAACTTGCAACTAAAAGTATCAACTAAGCAGGGCCTTCGATTGTTAGGGGCAACTCACAGTGGAGCTACGACGGCAGTGTATCTTGACAGTCGACGCTGAATATAACGCATCTCGTAATATTCCTCGTATTCAAGGTGTTCGATTTTACTGTTGCCGTCTTCCGGACATGGAACGAAAAATGGTAAAAAGTTTAGTGAATATCTCTCACGTGAAAGTCGAGGTGCCATAAAGCCGCCGTAATA